CATAAATATTTCATAGCTATTTTTGATATTACTGGATATTTTTTAGAATTAGACTTCCACCAATTTAATGGACAATCTGTTCTATCTATTTCTTGTTCTTTTGTGTATAAATCAAACTCAGTATGGGATGAATTAGTAGTTGGTGATTGAGAACCAAAAATAAAATCGTCTAGATCAATTTCTTTGTTTGAGTGAGAGGTTGAGATAACATAGATGAAGATGAAGTTGGAGGTGTATGTTCATTATACTCTTTTAACAAAAGTGAATATGCTTCAACCTTACAGTTAAATGCGTTAAGTCCGTCTAAGATTTGTTTACACGACTGACACATTAATAGAACAAAAAATAATAATGAAATATCTCTCTCTCTCCACGTGCTAACTGCCATACTATAACAAAAAAGTTCGCTACAGACGCACAGTATTTCGACAATTGTGCTATATGGGCGCATTTTTGAAAAGCTCATTTATAACTTATGTTGAAGCCTAGAAAATTCTCTATCTTTCTGTATATAAAACGTTCCGGGTCTGAGGAGATGAGTTAAAGAAATATTCCTTTAGAGCACTAAGATAGGTGAACTTGATGATATTTGTCTAGTATTTCGACAATTGTCCTGTATGGGCATATTTTCGAAAGACTTATTTGTAGCTTATTTTAAAGCCCAGAAAATTCTCTATTTTACCATGTATGCGCTTTGCTCAAGAACTTTGAAATCGGACGAGAAATTTGCGGAAAACGGTAAATGGCTTTTGTTGAACTGGTGGCGAAAAATGAAATGTAATTTTTTTTTCAAAGACGCCAGAAGGATTTTTTGAAAATGGAAAGTGTTGGGAAGTGAAAAGGGAAGTATTTTCGATCGTTTCCACTCAAAATCATATTGGGCGATTTTCTAGCAGAAACCGTTTCCCGTCCTTTCACCATACAACCGCTTATGTAGTAACAATACAAAAGCAATTCGAGCAGAAACAAACAAAACGACAAACAAAACGAAAAAGAATCAAATACAGACACAGGTCAAAAGTTCTTTCCTAAAACCTGAATTTCTGATTACGAGATAACCGCTGGTGAGAAAAAACACTTCCTAGCCAATGCAGTGGCCGTTTAAGATATTTTCAAATTTAAACGAATAAAACTATAATTATAACCCATGTTTAGTCAACAGTTATATTTTCTCACAAACGTCAGAAATCAAGCAAAATATATCATAAAATAATAGACTTTATGCACTTAAAACTATCTATAAGAAGAAGAGAGTTTTGAAATACCATCTTTCACTTGGATTTAAAAATATAATATAAAAATATCACTTGGACACAAAAACTTTTTCAGATTAAACGTTAAAAATTAATTAAATTGGTTTTATTGAGAAATGAAGTTGACTCACTCAAACTATTTCGGGACTAGTTCAATGAGAGGCTATGTTTCTTTCTATCAGCCGCTATCACGCAAAACTGAAAAACGCACCTAAAAGCCGTAAGCTGCTTTGTCTTCAGTTAAAAGAAAACATCAAAAGAAAACTGTAAAGACGAAAAACACGATAACAAATACAATAGCAAATCGTTATACATATTTAGGGTAAACGTGAGAGTTTTAATTGTTTTTGATCTATTGCGGCTTTCGCTACAGAAGTTAATTTTATGCGTCGTTTTCTGGTTGAATGTTCTACTTTCGTACTTTCAGCTTCTTGTGGTTGTTGTGAATTTGGCTGATGCAATTCATCACCGTTGTCTGGTTCTAAAAGAAATACTTAAGAATGGTAACATAAGCACTTGAGAGCTGTCATGTGGAACATCCTCTTTTTTGAAAAATCTTTTCCTTCTCCTTTTTTTCCATTTGACCATAACTTTATTCCTTCTCTTCTATCCGCGATTTTGGTTATAGGTAACTTAAGTGAATCACAACTTGCTGTATCTTTTAAAACGTATATCAGTCGTGAAGCCAGCATTTCTGCGGATGCCAAGAGAACATCATCATTCCAAACGTTGCGGCATTTATACTCATATTGCCTGGCACGATAACACTCCTTTTAAACTAATTAGATTTGATGAGAAACATGTTAATGTGGAAGCTGGAGAAAACAAAAGAAACTACTTGGAACATTAGAGAGGCGGAATAAAGAAGAAGGAGAAGAATATTCAGCTCGCATATAATTAAAATTTATCATTTTCTAACAAATTAAAAATTAAAATTCTTGATATCCTGATTGGGATATAGATTTTCTTAATATCCCAATCGGGATATCGAATTATATCCTGATCGGGATATAATTTCAAACTATATCCCGTTCGGGATATAAAAAAAATTTTGCTGCAAAAATGATATCCATATCCCGATTGGGAGTATATCCCGATCGGGATATGCCTCCACACTGACCTAGCTCTTTTACAGTAAGCACGAATCAGACTTCCCATTTCGCTTTTAAAGTCTTCGCCAACTTTTTAAAAATGGGTTTAAACTCCTAAAGACGCGTAAATGCGGCCGCTGCATATTACTTGGCTCTTCGGCCATCTTATAATCTGCTACTAGTCATAGTGGTAGCTGCAATGCAGCCACTGCATTAGACTGATGCGAGTTTCTGTGTCATTATTATTTCTTATCTAGAAAATGGGTGAGGTTACAACAATCTCAGATCTGTTCATTGATGAAGACATGAAAGAACGAAATATAGATGAATTTACACTTGTGTGGTTAGATGACAATATTGATAAAAAGAGCAAGGATGATGCTTGTAAACAATTCCGCTCGATTATTAATTATTTAAAAATATTTGATAACCTTGAGGAATGTTATAACTATATTCTTACTGTTAGCAATGAAAAAATATTTTTAATTGTATCGAGTAAATTCGCGTTAACTATCGTACAACGTATACATCGATTTGAAAAAATTGTATATATTTATATATTATGTTTAAATCCGTTATTACATGAAAAATGGACAAAAAAATATTCATCTGTTATCCGTGGCGTTTATAACGATAAACAATTGTTAGTTGGTAGATTAGCTGAAGATTTTCAGAATGGCGAACCATTTTCCTATGCTTTAATGCTACTGTGCAAACCGATGACAGTGGTATCACCATCATCAGTAACAGCAACACCGACGAATGAACCACCGAAATATATGGATTATTCGTGGTTTACATGGTATCAGATATTAATTGACGTAATTTTAAACATGGACTATATGCTTAGAGAGAAGCAAAATATGCTAAATGAATGTAAACAATATTTCAATGGAAATGTAAAAGAGTTGCAACGTATTGATGAATTCGACAGAAACTGTAAACTCTCGACAATCAATACTATGCTTGAAGTTGACAATACCATTGGTACGTAACAGTATCAGTAAACAGCAGTATTTAAGCAGTATTTCTTGCATGGTACCCGTTCCAAAGGAGATGGAAATTATTTGTACGCAAGTTTCTGTTGTGGAAACAAAATGACGTATTCTTCTTTTTCGAGATGACTTTAACTTTTTTTGAAAATGTTCCAGATTATTATTCGGGAAGCGATGTAGGATCGACCGCCTTACAAAAGACTTTTTCGCCAACAGCGATACCTTGTTCAAAAGTAAGCCCTTGAAATTCTAGTTAAAAAGAGATCTCTTAAGGAAATCCAAAATACTGTTGGTTGTTTGTCCACAATGGGACCCAGTGTGAAGCAGCAACCGGTTTAAACCCATGTAGATAGAGTTACTGTAACACTTATTGTTTCCGCGAAAGGAGAGGAATCAAAAAGATGCGAGTGTTTAAGGCGAATGCTGGCTAGAGCATCGCACAACCCTATTATGCACATTTCTAAGGAATGTTCGCTATTCTAAGAGCGATGTAGCCAAGTGATCCTTTTATGTGAGTATTGACGACCTCAAAAGTTGCAATGCTACATACAGCACACAAATGAAGTTCATCAGTCATGCCTAGTGCTGCAACGGAAACCCTTTTGAATAAATAGCTGCGATCCAGAGAAAATCGTCCATTCGAAAAACGTTCCCTTCCCAGTCGGTCATAGTCATTCCAGAAAAGCGCAGGAAACTCTGTTTACGAAAAATTTTACGCGTTTAGCGAGTTTCGAATAATAACGCGCAAGAAGTTGCGAGTGTGTAAAAATAAACCGCAGGAACATGCACGTTACCGTGGCAACAAAGGCTTTACACACGTGTTCCTGCGGTTTATTTTTACACACTCGCAGCTTCTTGCGCGTTATTATTCGAAACTTGCTAAACATGTAAAATTTTTCGTAAATAGAGTTTCCTGCGCTTTTCTGGAATGACTATGACTGACTGGACAGTTTCTGACAAGGGGGGAAAAGCATACTTCTGTACTTCTCCACACTTCTTGATACTTCTTCGTACTTTTTTGTACTTTTGAAGTACGAAGTACGAAATACGCTTTTCCCCCTTTCGTACTTCGTACTTCAGAAATACGGAGAAGTACAAAAAAGTACGAAGAGTTATCAAGAAGTACGGAGAAGTACCGAGAAGTACAGAAGTATGCTTTTTCGCCCTTGGTTTCTGAAAATATTTTGACTTACTCACAAAATTTTTTAAGAAATTTAAGTTGAGAAACTGGGTTTTATGCACCTAAGTAACTGAATGAGTAACATTTTTTTCTGAGTGACTGAGTTACTCGGAAAAAAGCTTTAGTCAAAAAATGCGTTCGTTACTCAATAAAAAAATTTTAGTTATTCAGCAGGCATGGTCCACATTTTGCGGACAACTTCCCGCTTTCTGTAGTTTTTTCCGCAATTTGTCCGCTTTCAGAGGATTTTTTGTTTTTGTCCTTTTTCTTGGAATGAATGGCTGAATAACCTGTCAGAACAATGCTTTTGCAACTTTTATAAAGACAGATGTGCACTGTTTTGAGAACTAAATCAGAAATTTGCCTCGGGAGTGAGCGCTAAGAGAAAAACATTAGCTTTTCTCTAGTGCTGCTGAAAGGGAGTGTGAAAAATAGTAAAATGCTAAATCTTCAAGGAAGCCAACTCGGTCAGAAAATCTTAACCATTAAGTGCTGTCGTCGGCGGAAAAGTTTCCGATTAAATTTTATCCTGTCATACATAACTCTTGAAATTTATGACGGGTGATCAAAAACGTGCATCCACAAAAAGTCAATGCTGATTCAAAAATTGGGGTTTAAATGATGTTTTGTACTTCTTTTGTGTTTCTTAAGTGAAACCACCATAAAGTGCTAGAAAATTTTTTTTGATACCCTTTACATTTGGTGAAAAATGAACTAAATACGATGAAAAATGCGTTTCCGCTTTTTTTTCGTATTTTGGAAAAAATTTCTTTTGCTTTTTTGACGTTTTATTCCACTTTTCTGATTTAAGCAGCTGGCAATCCTCTGGTCTGGCTTGATCAACGTTATCACTGAATTTTTGCTATCTGCAGAATCTACTAGCACCATAACTAGTAACTCTATTATTAAGTCGACTGAGTGAAACGAAAGGAGATTTATTGCTTTTCACTGCCGGGTTGCTTAGCAAAACTTCTTGTTCTTTCTTTCTTTCCATACCGTTTCTCTCGTTCGGGTTAGGTACTCGTTCAAGGTTGTCTCTGATGTCACACATTTGAGGAAAAGACGATTCGAAAGTAGAGGAGTCGTAGATGACACATCTAAAGCTCATTTTTCTATATATACTTTAATTCACCTATAATTAGTGCCACAAAATGAGTATATTTCTTAGAAATTTAGGTACAATAACATTAGATCTTTTCTTTGTTATTAGCAAAACCTTTACGTCTAAATGAAATAAAAGAAATTCATGATGCCGTTGTTTGTTTTATTGATAAAACAAGACGATTCCTAAAGACTGTGAACATGTGAAACTTGTGTTTCTTATTTTCTTTATTTCTTTCCTTTTTCAGCTTTTTTTAACTCTTTTTGTTGTTGTTTATATTCTGTTTTTCATATATACGAAATAATGATTACTATTATGAGTGCCTTCTCACTTGCTTCTGATCATTACTAGTTATTCTTCTTATTACTAGTTATTTTTTCTCCGTTTAAATAAAAAACTCTATCTTTTCTCGTATGAGATGATTAATCGTCACATGATTCATTTCATAGTGAATATATGCTATAGGGCTTATTGATACGATAAAAGCTATAGCTGAATATATAACACACAATAATGAATCAATGTGAATAATATGCCGTAGAAGATACGTAGACACTCATGACTTTCTGGATGTTCTAATTTTGTCTGTTTACCGCTTCACTCCGTCGGCTTTCCGGGGGTAGTTGACATCCAGCTTTTTTGAATTACAAATACGTTTCTTCGTTCTTGAGAAAAATGATTTTTGGAATCTATTATAAACACTCCGATCACGCGAAGAGCAGCGCGAGTTTCTATCTCGCGAGTAACCGAGAATTCATTATGCCATGTGTCTGGATTAATCAACCTTATCACTAAGTTTTTGCTATTTGCAGAGTCTACTAGCAGCATAGCTAGTGGCACTTAGCTATATTATCGCGACTGCTCTTCTGTCGATCTGGCCGATCTGCATCGGTTTATTTCTAAAAATGTTTTCAAGTTTTGGAAGGTTTATAGTCGAATAAAAATTAAACGATAAAGTATATTACGAAAAGACTACATTTCTGAATTTCAGAACACAGCTTATTATTATATTTCATAAATTTATACTCTTTTTTTTTCCATTTGGCAACGTTGTTAAAAAAAATAATATTTCATTCTACCACACAGTTTATTTAAAAATACATAACTTTTCACAGGTTGATTATTACGCTTAAATCGGACGGTTTTCACTGATTTTTTGCCGATTTATTCGAGCCTCTCAACTGATCGGTTACCGACCGATCCAACCAGTTCCAACTCTGATTGGTATCATATCCAAACAACACATAAGGCTGATGTGGATTTAGCAGCAATATTTAGTGACAAAATCAAATCGAAATAGTTAGAATATCTAAAAGACAAACTAGAATGTAAAAACGATATAATTTTTCGTTGAATTTTTTCAATTTTTCATTGTTTTCTTTTAAAAATAAATTACATGAAAAGTAAAATATCTTGTTCATATTGAAAATAAAAATTATTGTTGTTATTGTATCCTTTATCTGGTGGAAGAACGCTCTGTTTCCATTTTTCAATTTGATAATAGATTAAAGTTCAGCGGCTTTCATACTAAAACAAGTTTTGAGTTAGATCTTCTCAAATTATTTGCACAACTGAATATATTAAATTTATATATGGCCAAAATTGTCAGTTTTGATCTGCAGAAATGTGTTTGTTTGTTCGCATTAGCGAAAAAGTAAGTATCACGACTAGCTACGTCAGTGACTATTGATAGATATGTGTCAACTTATTTCAATATTTATTTCAACTTTGGATTGATTGATTAACTCTCATTTATATCTCAAACTCATTTTTCATTGTCAAACTGTAATGAATGTTGCCAATTTCGACGAGAAAAGACTGCTGTAAGAATCTTTTTGTCAATTAAAAAACAATTCATATTCTAAATTTTTTTTCGAAAATAATGACTACTACTGTTAATCTAAGTTTCTTGACATAACAGTTGTATTATTCTGCCATATTTGTTATCTTTTTTTTTGCATCTTGCATTATATTTGATTATCGCGAGACTTCATATTGAAATGAACAATCATGAGTTAACTATTTTCTTCGTTCTTGTTAATGAACTTCATTTGGTAATAGAACAATGATTTCATCTTAACAAAAACTATGACATTCTAATAGAATAAAAGTTCTAGTTTTGAGATAATACTATTATGTTGATTTATGAAGAATATTTACGTCGTTGTATATACTATAAACATTATTCCCTAACGAATAAAATTGAAATTATTTAAGTTGTTATATTGATTAATCATTTAATTAGTTTTGCATATTTTTATGCACTGGAATGTATCAAAATTCTGTATCATATGTTTTTTAATTACTAACCTCTTCTTTTCTTTGATTGAGATAATTCGTTTATTGTATTAGGATAACTGATATATTAATAACCAAAAGAAAGAAAAACCATTCGAAAATGTGGTAAAAGCGCAAAAGAAGATAAAATTTGTGCATGTAGTTGTTTATAGTTCTCCAAATAAAACTCCTGTCAGTAGGCTATTAATTATAATAAGAAACAGATAAAGAAAATAGTTTGTAGTTTTCTTTTCTTGTTTAAGAAAATTTTTCTGTATCTCTCACTCTTCTTCAACATAAAACATATTTTTGACATTTTAAAAGTCATTTTTTTATTTCGTTAACTTAAATATACTTGAAATATTGAAAACTAAGTTTCAATTAATCGCTTTGACAGGAGAAATGACTGCATGTTTAGTTCAGTTGTATCCTATAATTTGATATTTTCAAAGCGTTACAATGCATACTATTTAACCAAAAACAACCGATTTCTTTTCATTAACAGACATAGTATTTTCAACTCTACCAGAAGTCCATTCACCAGTAGTTGTTTTTAAACATGATGCCCCCTCATTCTAGTGTATCGAATTATTATGCACATATTCAAGACAGAAAAAACATCTGTCCAACTATATATATCTTGTTCTATTGTGAATATAACGTCACAAAAGTGTCCAACAACAAATGACGACTTACTTGATAAAAGATCATCATTTCTACCATCAAGATGATTAACAATATTAATGGCATACAACAAATTTTCTTTTCTCTCTGTCTCTCTCTCTCTTCTTTCTGATACCATCAAAGTAAAGGGGGGGCTAGTTTACTAATATCCTTCTAGAATAAAAGAAAATTATCATCTTCATCCACCGCACAATGTTTATTCATACTTTCTTCGTCTTTTTCTTCTGATACATTCATTACACATAGTATATTTAACAAACAGATATATAAATAGTGCGGTGTACTAGTTTCATATTGTACTTTTACAGAAAATCGTTCTACTTTTCACTATTTATAAAATCAAAAAAATGCCACGTGATAATATTCCAAAACAATCACTTAGAAAACTTCAACAATTTTTCACAAAGACGCTAGGTAAGAAGCTGCAATAACAATAATGACAAAGAAATATCAATCATGTGGTGAACTTGTCTGATGTTCAATTTTTTCATAGATACAAATAATGATGGTCTCGTCAATTGGACTGATTTTGAAGCAGCTATTGAAGTGAGTGCTTTAGAGTGTCATTGTATTTGAAACAAATTTATTTACCAATTTTGTTATTTTTATATAGTCAATCGTACCACAAGAAGATGCAACGCGCAATGCTCGTTTGAAAGTTTTAAGAAAACGATTAGAACAACATTTTCAAAAATATTTTTGGGATTTATGTGCTGTTGGTGATGCGAATAAAGACGGAAACATTGATTTAGGTCAATTGAAATAAGACTGAGCTTAACTTTTTCATCTTTCATTATTATTTTTGTTTTAAGACGAATGGTTAGATGTTATGAACGATATCATTCGAGGATTAAAAGAAAAAAATGAATTTCCAGAATGGTATGAAGGATTACATAAGGCGTTGTATAGAGCAACAGAATTTTTAGGTATGTGAGCGAGTATATCGTTGAAGAGAAAAAAACACTGTTGTTAATCTTCTATAGACGAACGTGCAATAACGAAAGATGAATTTGCTAGTATGCTCATATCATGGGATATTGAGGAAGAAGCAGGTTTGTACACAAAAAATTTAATATCAGAATCTTCGTTTGATATGAACTTATTTTTTTTATAGCTGGCAAAGCGTACGACTTTATTACGGACAATGGTAAAAAAACAATGGATTACAATTTATTTTCGGAATTTATGAAAAAATTTTTCTTAAATGATACTGTGAATCATCCACTTAATCTTGGCTTGGATAAATAATTTATATATTACACAGGAACGCGTATGAGTGAAAAATTGAAACATATTACTATTTTTATTAATACTATTATACTTTCACATTCATTTTGCTGTATCTATTCGAATTCGTTTCTTAATAAAGGACAGAAAAAGGAAGCGTCATCTTGTATTTATCTTCTCTCTAGGTCAAGTTCAAGGTCATGTAAATTAATGTTTTCTGTTGCAAACAACAATTATTTTTGATTAAAACGTTTTACTAGCTTAAGCGATCTGATGAAAAGTTTAATTACAAAGCCGCAACACAGCAGCATCATGAAGAAAATTTAATATAAAATAGTGTGTCCTTCGGAAAACAATGGCAATGGAGGCAAAAGTTTCTATCGATCTTCTGAAGGTATTGATTGAATTCGCTGTCTAGTCATCAGATTAACAATCTCTATCAGTAGGCGAACAAATCGTAATATAGTATAGTCATTTCTTCTATCATGAATCATTACCTAAACTGTTTGTATAGAACCGTCTTCTCAATCCAATAATCTCAGCACTATAATTCTTAAAACAGTAGTCTATATCTAATGGGAAATTCACATTTTTACGCATACAGTCGTTATGAGTGGTTTTTCAAATTGATATTTATATTCTTCGTCTTATCATGCAAGATATGCACACAATAGAATGCCGTAGAATTAGAAGAGAGAGAGATTAAAACAGGTACCAGATGTAGACTACATCATAGTGTATAGAACATTTCTTTTTTTAAATTATTACTCAATGTTCATCTATAATGAAAACAAAATAAGTAAAACTATAGTGTCTCTACAACAAGCTGCGGCATGAATTAGTGCTCATTTGTTCAATATAGACTTGCTTCATGATATTGAACAACATTTGTACATTGCTGATATAATATATTCTTTTCTGTCTCAACTGAGAATGAACATCAACTGTGTTCACTAATAATCATTTAAACAAACTGTTACTGATGGGAGGGAAAAGCAAAGGTATTAGATCTGTTTGAAACTTTTGTTCAATTAGGTAAAATCTCCTCAAATATTGGATGTGTTCAGAATAATCTTGACGAATCAGTGTGGTAAGATGATTGTTTGTATTTTCATCACAAAAACTTTTTTCCATCGACTAAAATCAGAGAAAAGAGAGTATCTTTAACGAAAAATTGAGTACTTTAACTATCAATTTAAAGACTGCTGAACGGGTTTAAATATTGGAATTGAAAAATTATAGCGCTCTTCAGTAGTACAAGGCTAAAGTCATTACTACGTCTGACTGTACCGTAAAGCCTGTACAGTAAACTAAATACTGTTAACGTCTCTTCTCTCACTACCATACACACACACACACGCACACACGTAGAGTGTTCATTGGTCATAAATCATTATATTAACTTGTTCTCATAGTATTAAATATAAACGCTTTGAATAGATTATATTCTCTTTCTTTCACACAATAGAACTTTATACACCATAACGCAGTATGTACTAGTTCTAAATGCCATAAAATTCTTAATCGAAAAATAATATCATGAGCACATAATATATCTTAAATGAAAAAGAAAGTGAGAGAGAGAGAGAGACAGTGTGTATGTATATATGATATAGATGTATCAAAAAGTTCACTATATATTGTTCAAAGTTATTCGTTTTTTATTAATCTCATTTTTGAAGAATATTCTACATAGTGTCAATGAAAGACACAACTTTCATTTATTTTATTTTGTTTTTTCAAGTTGTTTGAAGGAGATACTTAAACATAAAACATATTGACATTTGTGTGTTGATGTCTGATTTAAAAAGACATTCGATTCTACTAAAACCTCATTAACATTATGTAAGTACTGTTAAACGGAAAAAAATAATAATTTATTCTTTGACCAATCATTCTATCAAAATAGACACCACTTGTCGATTTTATTAATCAAACTTGAGAAGAATCGAATATAATAGCATCGTCCATTCTGATAAATTATATCTATTCTCTAACAAACAGTAGTAGAAATAATAAAAACGGTAAGTTTCTAAACAGTAACAAAATAGTTGAGCTTAGATAGATATATCAGTCGCCATAAACATATTACAGCTCATATTTTTTACTCCAATTGTTAAAAAAACTTTTTTTTCTCCAGTTTTCTAGTATAAACAATGACGCTATCAGTATTCAAATCTTGGATGGTTTTATTAATGTTTATTCTCTCTCATTCTTTATCATCATCAACCGTTACAATTGAAAATATAACATATTTAGAAAATTGTTATTTTTCTAAATTGGACTATGATAATAATTTAAATACTCATTTCGATTCACCTTATTCGATATCAATTCAAGCCATCTACTCATTGTTTACGCATAATCAACTAGTCATACCCGGTCAAATATATAAATCATTAGCAGTCATACCATTTCTAGTCAAATGTTCTAATTATTACAATATATCAAAAACATATTTACCATTTACATCGTGTTTATATGCAATTATTGATCGAAATATAAAACTTTCTAATCATGAATATACTCGTACATTACTTGAATTAAAACAAATTGAGTCATGGAATGATGACGTACCTATTTTATATCTTGGTGAAAATCGTCTTCTATTATGTAATTGTTCATTTCAATCTAATAATCATGTGTATCAATTATCATCTAGTCAAATATTTTCATTGAAAATTGAATTTGAAGCACCAGTGAATCAAACATGTTCAATAACAACAAAAAAACATAATAAATGTAATTCAAAAACATCCTATTGTCAAAATGGTCAATGTCAATGTCGTATAGGAACCATTATGAGGTCAATAATAAATAATGATAATAAAATAAAACAATCTTATTGTATTGACAATTCAAATTGTACACTAGATCATTTTCGTTGTATACAATGGTGTAATGATCGAGAGTTACCATCACTCTGTCAATGTCTAAATGGAAGTTTAAACGTGCAATATTCTTGTCAATTAACTCTCGATGGATTATGCGATAATATCAGTTATTGTTCTCCGGCTACAATATGCAATGGAACACATTGTATCCAAAGAAAACACTTAAATAAAATTAAAATATTTTGGAATATTATAGCCACATTAAAATTTACATTGATTATCATCACATTAATTATTGTCTTTTTTTGTGTCTTATTTTTATGTTTTATTCATCATAATTTTTTTTCAACAAAACATCGAAAAAGCAATAATTCGTTACTGTCAAAAACACTTCCGTTCGAAAATAATTACACTACATCATCCTTATTTAATCATTGTACTAGTAATATTTCAACGAGAACCGATTCAACAAGAGCAGATAGTGATGACATAAATTCATGGTCAGAAAAAAGCAAAATATATCAGATAACGGATTATTTCTATTTAAATAGTAAATTGGTAGGCATCAGTGAAAAGATGAATACATCGTACAATGGTAAAGATAGTGGTGAATTTTATCCAAAAGTTATTGGACGATTAGATACTGGAGATATTTTAATTTCAGTGTAAATTTTTTTCAGAATAAATGTTATGTTCATAAGAAAAACAAAGATTTTATGTTTTAATATGCTGGAAAACTGTTATCTAATTGATTTTCGATGTCTTGGAAGAATATTTCCAAATCTTCAGCATAAACTTTGAATAAAGCAACGTGACAATTGTTACTACAGATATAAGAGTTTTCTTTTATTAGAAATGCTGTTCTTCCGCGCCCTCACAGTGTTACTGTAGCGCGAGAACTTAATATACCATCGATAAAAAAAGAATTTTTATTCGCTGTTCATCTGGACGAATTGAAATTTGACAACAGTTGAATTCGTAAAAGCTGAACAACTGCGTGTCAAAATTCTAATATACATGATTAAATTTTAAAACCATACACGACTGTGTGCACCTTTTTCTGTTTGAAAGATAAGTTTCGCTAGCTACCATCAGTGTTTCAAAGAAACAAGTGTGTGTGTTTTATAACAAAGATGCAAATTCAACTTATAATCGTTTTATTATTTTTATCCACAACCGTAACATTATCGAAAAAAGTTGATGAACAACAGTGTGAAGGTGAGTCGGTTACTCCTATTTTTCTCACATTCTAAAGTGAATCATGTTATTTTAAATTTTAGTTTGTGTGAAAACCATTACAGTATTTGCAAATACTTTGAGTGAAAATGACAAGTCAAAACCTGAAAATATCGAAAAAGCGTTCAAAAATTATTGTAGCAAAGTAAAAGTCGATTCTAAAGAACATCGATTGGTAAGCAGAATATAACGTTGATTGAGATGGTAACTAATCATTTTTATTTTATTTTATTTTTCAAGTGTTATTATATCGGAGGTTTGGAAACGTCCGCTACCTATGCGATACCCGATGTTTCTAAACCGTAAGTTTTTTTTGAGTTATTTGTTTCTTTCAGTCGTAGATATTTTTGTTTTGTTTTTTAGACTCAGTTGGGGTATTCCTATTGAAAAAATATGTCGTGAACGTTTATTCAAAAGTAATCCACAGATATGTGATTTAAAATACGGTAAGTATTTCTAGTAAGATTTTAAATACTTTAATATGAAGTGTTTTTTATGATCCGCTTTATTTTTAGAACGTGAAATTGATTGGAATGCTATTGATTTGAATAAACTTAAAGTAAGAAAGTTGAAAGAAATTTTAAGTGATTGGGGTGAACCATCCGATTTCATTGAGAAATCAGAATTTATTAAAAAAATTAATGAAGTTAAATCAAAATATATTGGAAAACAATCAAATAATAAAGATCTATGATATTTTAGTCTTTATTAATAAATTATTTTTTATTTATTTCTTTATTTACATATTTATAAATGCTAGTCAAAGTCTCGTTATTTCCAATTTTCTCTATTCATTTATTTATTTATCTATATTTGAGAAAAATCGTCCACCGATCAACAGAAAATATCAGAGAATACAGATAAACTAAATTTCTATGAAATATCTGATACACCACCGTTTGACTATTTATTATGTATTAGTGTCCTGTCTTATAGAATGTTTTTGTCATATAAAGCGAGCAACAGAAGACAATTCCTTGCGCATATTTTTTCGCTTTCATCCTGTATGCTTTGTAGTATAATGTACTACATCTGCTTTCTTCGCGAGTAAATTAATTGTTCGTCAAATATTTGTTTCTTTTTTTTGCTACTTGTCGCATGTGTTCATAGGTTTTATTTATTTTTAATTCAATGTTAATATCGCATTTGTTTTGTTCTTATATCTAGGAAAATTATTGTTTGGTTTGTTTTTTCTTTTCAATGTTATTTGTTTCTTTTTGTTTTGTTGTTTACGAAACCAAGTAAAATTTAACAGATAAACAGATATTGTTCGTGTTATGTCATGAAGACATAAGAACGTCATATGTGTAGAAATGTCACTATTCTTTGTTCGTCATGTTCTTTTTTATTCTTCTTACGTTATTTGATGTCCTGTACTACTGACGTCATTACTCTTTCCATCTGTTTCTCGTACTATAGATCGTTAACTAAAACAGCACTAAAGTCCCTATTGTCGTCCAATATTGGTACCTAGTTACTGAATAACAAGGCTAGTAATGACTAGAAAAGCTTGTTTTTTTTGGCACATCCTTGACGGCGTAGTTTTTTTTCATATGAAAGGTAGTTTTAACAAGTACTTATCAGTTTCAATTTTTCACAATATATTCAGTAACTAGGTACCAATATGCGATGGCAATAGGGACTTTAGTGCTGTTTTAGTTAAAGGCCTATAGTGGTACAAAGGTGTACGAACGTCACGTCCGTGACGCTGGAGTTGCCCATATCAATAGCTGTGTTTTCATGTGATTATTTGGATTATTAGTTCATGACAAATAAAGTGATAGAAACTATTCAAGTTTATATTTGGGAACATAACAGTTCGAAAAGGTTGTTCTAACTGTTGATTAGTTGAAAATTTTCCAGTAAAAATTCGCTTAGTCATTATGACAAGATACTATCCCCATGTATATCTCCGAAATTTCAATATAATATGTTATACATAGTAAAATGGAGCACATTGATCACAAATATGATCATTTTATCTGTTGCTATCGGACGATTGCCAAGCTAGATAAGTTTCTAAATATTACAGCAGCTTATGGATATGATTGCTTTTTATATATTCAATATGGAACACAAAAATATATACTTCATTTGCGTTTCTCATTTTTTTTCTCTAATTTTTAGAAACAGTGCCTTCTTATCCTATGTGCTAATTGTGCTATAGCACAGGAGCCCGGCTGACTCAGGGGCCCAATCGAACGGCTTAAGCCTTGCATTTTGTTATTATTAAAAAAAATACAAATTGATGTGTTGAAAACGTTAATGTTCAGCACGGGGGCCACAAATTTCTTAAATCGGCTCTGTTTAGAAACTTCTATAACTTTCGGAAAAATATGTGACAAAAAGGCTAGAATAAATACTAAATTGTAGCTCAGGTGTTTCTGTATGAAATCATGGTAGGGTTTGGACAATGATGCTGTTAAAAAAATATGATTAATTATACATTAAATCGTTTTTTTGACGGGAAAAGTAATAAAATATCATCACTTCGAGTAATAGCTAGCAGGTGAAATTAGCGTATTTGTGTAGATCAATACACTCGACTTTATTATACCTCTATCCTGCAATTTCATACATATTAATATTAGTATTCAACACTTCTGAGAATATATTTATGATTCTGCTAAGAAAAGACCTTAATAATATTAGACTACGATATAATTTCAGTATGTTCTTCGTTTTAAGCAATAGACTGTTTTTTACGAACACTATATTTTCAAGATATAGATATATATTTTTTTGTAAAGATCTTTAAACAATAAGTAAATTAGTTTTTTTTATAGTAAATCGGAAAACTTGATGAAACAGCGTGATAAAAACTGATTTTATTGAATAAATGGGATTTTTTGGTCAAGAACGTATAGTGTGGTATCCTGTTACCAAAAGAGTTAAATTTTTGCATTTAATAGACTTCTGCTTTGAAATAAAAGACTTTTTCATTATTATTTTCTAAAGTAGTTAGTTCCATTTTTCAAGTATGTAATACTTCTAAAATATATGAACTGGCAAATTATTTATAAAGCTATTAGGAATCTAATAAATAGAGAGATATCTCTTTCCACATTAGATATTTCATGTATGGAGATTTTTTTCCCTCAACACGTCAATAGAAAGGAAAGAGAACAGAAAGATATGCATGTGCGAAAAGAGATAGTTTATCCCCTTATTTCCTAGTTCTCTATTAATTTTCTAACACATCTAGTTCACGTTATTGAGAAAGGAATGACACAAATTTCTTTAAATAATAAAATTAAGTCTTCCATAATATAGTAACAAAAACATAAGGCTAGCTGGGTGCCGTTGCATATGTCAAAAAGAGTTCACTACGTGCTAAACTCGTACGCAGCGTATTTATAGCCGTATAACTAACTGTAAGTATAATAGTCAAATAAATCCGATTGATTTTCTTGATAATCTTCTGTCTCTAAAGCACACTGTGGTCTGTGAAACTAATAATATACACTTAAATTCAAAATAGTATTACTGTTAATCTCTTGATCGGTTTGTTTAATTGAACAACGCATGATCCAATTTGTTCTACATTATCAATACGAAGATAGTTTTCTGCCAAGGGATCTTTTTATATTTACCATCTACATATTAATGTACACTCAGTTGCCTAATTCTTTTATCTATGCGATGTACTATATTTTTATATATCGAAAAGCTTACTTTTTCTCTCTATATTTCTTTTGAGAAATGGAACAAATATATATAAGAGAAAAAGGTTATTGATACTCTTATTGGCCTTTAGGAATAAATATAACTGTCTTGAACATTATTCCTTTTGTTTTTTCTGTTGGTATTACAGACTAACAAGAACGAAAGAAATTAATAACCACGCGAAAATTTCGTTTGAAGTGAGTTTGACACTTATAGATGGGAATTTGCTTTGTTTTAGGAAACATTGCAGAATACATTCTGGTTGATGTATTAGTCTCTATTACAAAAGTCTCATTCTAATACTCTAAACATCGTTCTTTTTTTAGCACGCAAATTAGTCTGTCAGAAGCGTATGTCAACCTGTGCAAGTAGCTAACTTTTTTTTGTAATGCATATAAATAGAGATGTCATTTCCCAGAGTGTATTTTTACTGTTATATTATTCAAGTTTTCTTACAGTAGATAACTGATGCAAAAAAAGTTCTTCAGTCTAAAACTTGAGTAAAATCCTTCATCTAGGATTTTACGTACAAAACACAACAAAAAACAATTATAAATCTTCATAATGTCTGTTTTGTTCTCAAACGATAACGTTCTCTATTTATTATATCCTTAAATTTTTAAGACCCATAGTGTTTTTATTATAATTATTTCTTTGTTATATTTTAAGGTATTTGTGCGTAAAATCCTAGATGAAGGATTTTACTAAACCTTTTGATTGAAGGACTTTTCTTGCATCAGCTATCTACTGTAAGAAAACTTGAATAATATAACAGTAAAATACACTCTGAGCAATAGCATCTCCTCTATCTATATGTATTACCAAAAAAATTAGCTACTTGTACAGGTTGACATACTCTTCTGACATATAGTGGTTAATTATCTTTGACGAATAGCAGACTAATTTGCGTGCTAAAAGAAGAACGAAGATTATCTAAGAAAGAGTACTAGAATGAGATCTTTTGTATTAGAGACTAATACATCCACCAGAATGCATTTTGAAATGCTAGCTTACTATTAATAGAATTTTATAACGTCTATAACTAAATCTTGTACATTCATTGCTGACTAACTGCTTGATATACTAAGTGAAGTTAGTTGTATGTATAAGTGTTGAGAAAGTATGTATTATGTGTATTGACTTCCAGAATTGATAAATAGGTCACCGCGTTAGAAAAAATTTCAAAAATAGTACTAATATGCTGCTTTTCGATCGAGTTCAAGTTTGACGCATTTAGTCAAATGGCCACTTTTGGACTGTAGGACTTTTTTCTATTGAAACGTTAGAAAAAACAAACATAACACAACATTCAAAGGTATCGGAAAAATGGGGGAGTGGCATACGAATGCGCTCTCATTTTAGCGCGTCTCATTTGGATGCGTTTTCAATTACACAACTCATTCCTCAAAATATTTTGAAAGGGTTGAATTGTTTCTGTCACTATTGTTTGAAATTAATTCTCAATGGTTAGTAATTGTTTATAGTAAAAGGAGAAACAGCGTAGCTTACAATATTTTTGAGCAGTATCAACCATATAATCTTAATGCGGTAAGTGTCAGTCTATGCCTTTGCAGTTTTTCTATGCAGAAGATATCAAAATCTAATAAGAAGCTTCGCAGTTCAATCGAATGCTCGTGATATTATTGATCTATCAAACATACGAACTTCGTGATCCATGTCTTTAGATCGCTAGTTAGCAATCACACAAACATAGTTTCAGTCAGATATTATGTTCACAAATGTTTTACTTATATTAATTAGTAAGCTACATTAACATCAATAATCTTTCACCCTAAAATTTGAACTATCAGAAATTAAGGCTAGCTGAGATACAGCTAAAATATTTTATTCTTGTGAGTTAAAAATTGATGTCATAGTGTATATGAGACGTTTAAACGGGACATACACCGAATAGTTTAGTATTATCTTGACTATTTCTCGCAATTCAGATGATTGTTTTTGTATTTGATAGAAAAGATTTTGATGTATGGCATTAACAAAAGGTTTTAGCAAAATTGCTTGATGCTCGTTATTATAGTTAATTGTAAATTTAATTTATTCTATAAAATATATTCAAATTCATATTCTATGCATTGTAAAGCTAATATGAAAGTTTATCCACTGGCATAATGAGCTGATCTTCACATATGTGATAGAGTTTAGGATTCTAAACATCTTTGTCGTCATAGACCTTATCCTAAAGTACCCTAAATTAGATTAGAAAAAGTTTCGAAAAAATATAACCTTTATTATGAGTTCATGTTTAACGTATTAAATCTTTATAGTTGCTCGACTGTACTAACTTTAAACGTACTACAGGTCGCGATGAATGTTCCTACTTTAATATATTTTGTCGTACTTTTCCTGTAAGATAAAAATAGATTCTTAAGGAATCAGAAATTTTGGCTATTTTCTTTGTTTCCCTAGATGATGTCTACTACTATGGAACATGATCCAGCTTCAGAAGAACTTGCAGCTCATCCATCAAGACTGCCAACGCATCCAAAGGAAATGGCAGAGGAGAGGAAATCTGAGCCAGAAGGAATTTTCTCACCATCAGTTTTACATCCATTAGATCCACTTACAGCGAATGAGATTAGCCTTACCACAAAAATAATACAAGAATCATCCTACTTTCAAAAATATTTGCGTATAGTTACAATTGTGCTGTTAGAACCAGAAGATAAAAGTATTATTTTAAATTTTCAACCAAATACTGAAATTCACCGTCGTGTGACTGTATTCATTCGTGATCCTGTAAAACATGTGACATTAGAAATGATTGTTGATCTAACGAAAAAGACGATCAAAAATGTGCTTGAACTTACGAATGTTCAGCCGGGTTTAACATATGATGAAATAATTGCAGCTGACTCAGCACTACGTAGCGACAAGAATTTTCTAGCTGCTATTGCAAAACGAAATTTAGATGTTAACAGCATTGTATTTTATCCATTTACTGCCTGCTATCGTGATCAGTCAGATGCGGCGAGTAAACGAAGAATATACAGACCGTTGTCAGCTGTCAGTTATGGGAACGAAGATAATTACTATGCACACCCAATCGAAGTAAGTGATACAATAATGGATTAGCAACGAATAATGTGATCATTTATGCTAAAGGGTCTGGTAATCACAGTTAATTTGGACGATATGACTGTTGAAATTGAAGATCATGAAGTTGTTCCGATACCAACAAATACAGCAAATTATAATCCGGAAAGTATTTCAACACCAAACAATGTACCATATTTTCCCAATGGTGTACGGGATGATTTGAAACCTCTTATTATAACACAGCCAGATGGACCAAGTTTTAAAGTTGATGGCTATCAAGTAACATGGCAAAAATGGCGATTCAGAATAGGATTTAATGTTCGCGAAGGTTAGTTTAATAGCCATAATCAATAGATAATATCATGAGCAGCAAATTTTAATATTTAGCTCTTGTTCTTCACTGTATCGAATATTTTGATAAAGCACGTTGGCGATCAATAATTTATCGCGCAGCAATGTCCGAGATGTAAAAAAATTTTGAAGCTTAATCAAATTTTACTAAGACTATTACCTCTTTTCATTTTCTAGGTATGTGCCTTACGGAGATGCGAGTCCAACACATTCGTTTAAAAATGTTTTTGATATGGGAGAAGCTGGTTTGGGATTGCTGGTTAATAGTTTAGTCCTTGGATGTGATTGTCTTGGTGAAATCTATTATTTTGACGTTGTTGTAAATAATAATCAGGGAAAGCCAGTTCTTTTAAAAAACGCTATTTGTATGCATGAAGAAGACGCTGGTTTACTTTGGAAACATACAGAATTTGTCGAAGGACGAACACAAGTTCGTCGATCACGACGATTAGTAATCAGCACAGTTGCTACAATCGGTAATTATGAGTATGCCGTGTATTGGTACCTACAACAAGATGGGATACTTAATTATGAAGTTAAACTTACAGGCATTATTGCTCCAGGTACGCTCTTATTTTATCATTAGTACACTTTAACTTATTTCCATTTTTTTCTCTTCTAGCCGCAATTGAATCAGGAAAAACACCTGTATCTGGTGGTTTAGTGGCTCCTGGCACTTATGGTCCGTACCATCAACATTTCTTCAATATTCGAATTGATTGGATGTTAGATGGTTTGAAAAATTCTCTTGTCGAAGTTAATTGTGAACCATTACCTCCTGGAAAAGCGAATCCAACTGGTAATGCATGGACAGCCAAAGAAACTATTCTATCAACAGTTGACCAAGCACGACGAACAATTGAGTCAAAAACATCAAGACATTGGAAAATTGTTAATCCATCAGTTTTAAATCACGTTGGACAACCAGTTGCTTATAAACTTGTATCAATGGGAAATGTGTTTCCGTTATGCCAAGAAAATTCATCTCAATACAAACGTGGTGGATTTACAAGGTACCACTTATGGGCTACGGTTTTTGATTCAAATGAAATGTATGCAGCTGGTCTCTATCCAAATCAAAATGCTGGTGATGATGGACTACTATCTTACAGTGAAAAAAATAAAGACAAATCACTCGTGGAAAGTGACCTCGTGACATGGTATACATTTGGATGTACACATATTGTAAGACCAGAAGATTGGCCTGTGATGCCTGTTGAAAACACTGGTTTTCGATTAATACCTCATGGTTTCTTTGACGGCAATCCATCATTAGACGTTCCACTGCCATCGAATCATTGTCACATGAAAAAGAACTCTGAAGAATGTAAACGCAATGACAACTGACGTATCATAAAAGTATTTGTTTTCATCTCTTTTGGGGTGCTGCTATTTGAAATAAATGAGTTTTTTGTAATTATCATATATATAATCATTCTGATGTTGTTTTCTATTTATGTTGGAATAAACAGAAGGTTAAATTCATCACGTGAAGCTTTCGCTGATTTGTAGAATTTGTGCATATGAAGAACATCATAGCAGTTTGAAAGATGTTTTGCAACGGAACCGTGGATAGAATAGCATTGAAAAACTTTTCATTTGTTAAAAGTTTCAATACTAAAAGTTCAACTAGTTAAATTAGTTCTGTTGAAACAGCACTGCTTGAAGGTAAATTATCTTTGATTGAGAATAGAAGTTGAGCAAAGTGTTCAAAAATACGTTATAATTAGTAGAATTTGAATCAGTATTATATTCTACTTTATTTTATTGATTGAAATTACGTGCTGATGATGTCATTTGTTATTCATTGTCATTATGTGCCATGTTTTTCCTTGATAATGGACGTCTTTTACTGTTCTATCGAGGCGTTTTGAAGATAATTTTGAAGAATAGCTAATAATACCACCTACTAGTGTCTGAACTCGATTTTTCTATGATAAGTTTGATTTTTTTCTGGTATTAATATAAAAATGAATTATGTTTTTGGTTACTATCAGAAAAGCGATTAATTCATTCGAATTAAGCATTTGTTAATTGTTGAACAAATTCTCCTAACCTTTTTAAATTGTGTTTATGAATCTTGTGTAAAAGTTAAATCATATTTTTAATTACTTTCTACTGCACCACGATTTGACGCTTTTTTCCTGCAGGTTACCAACAAGACATCTTAGAAGTTTGTTCGTCATGGTTGATTTGATTTCAGATTCATTAAGTTTATCTCGCACAGGTCCTACCAAAATCTTGAAATAAAAAATTACAAAATATTTGTGCTGTTTTTTATCAATGTTCTTAATCACTTGACAAATGTGGATCCGCACGCATGCCTAGTTGTGCATCGAACCGTAAACAGTGTTTACGAAGAAAAATATTTTTAATTGTTAGACATTTCACATCATGTTTTCAAATTTTTTCCATGCAGATCTAAAGACTTGAAAATAGC